GTGTTGAATAAAGCCAACCGATTGCCACGCAGGGCTTGAGGCTCAGAAGGAGCAGGAGAAGGAGGAGGCGCGAAAAACGGACAGTTGCGATTTCCGGGCGTGACCGGGTTACAACCAGCACCCAACATGACAAAACCATAAGGGTAAAAATTTGGCAAGGATGATTCCTACGCATTGTGACCAAAGCAGGCGACACAACGGGCAAACTCACCTGCGCTAGATACACGGCTCCAGAAAGCACGCGACGAGGTGGGCGACTGCTAAAACGCCTCGCTGCCAGTTGGGATCAAGTGCAATGGCATGCCAAGCAGAAGAGGCTTACAGTGACATAGGGCCAAAGGTACAGGCTGACGTCCCTGCCGGAACATAAATGGCCTAAGGGAGACGCCCGAGACGCAGTAGCATTTGAACGAACACTTTAGCACCATGCATGCTGTCAATGCGGGACAGGCGAGTTTCCTACCGCCGAAGGACATGAATCGTTTGAGACCACCCCGGCGAATCCACAACACGGCACCACATTCTTAACGGCACGGTGCGTCCTGCAGGAAATGGCTTCCACAAAACACTTGCCCGGGATCTGCGCACGGATCTTGGATCCCAGCGGACAGCAAGGCAGACTTAGCACCTCGCAGTTGCCTTGAGACACCCCCAAATTTGGGATCCCAATCAGGGGTGAACCAGGCTTCCCCCTTCCGCTGCCTAATTCCTGAATTCAGGGCAGTGGTATTGACCACCTTGTAGCAACCTAAAGGACTCGGGCCCTGTTTTGTTTGGCATTGAAAGGGAAACCGAAAAACGGAAATCCATTTTTGTTGAACCGCCCATGGAGGCAGCGGCTGCAGAGGGCGAGGATGCGCCGGAGGCGCCGCTGGTGTCGCCAGAGCCCCAGACATGGCAGCGAGCAGACTTGACTGCTATTGGGTTGGATCTTTAGACTTCAACTTCTTGGGAAATCAAGGGGTTTTCCACTAAACCCCCAAAAAGTTAAACTTTTTGCAGGGGGGTCAACAACAACCAAGTAGAAAACGTAGTGGGTTTACCCGAGCAAGTCTAATCATCATCCTTTGGACTAATTGCAGCTGAGTTTCATCTTGGTGGGCTGATGTTTGACGGGGAAGCATAGGGAGCCCTATTATAAGGGCTTAAATCCGGAGCCAGGGGTCTTGACAATTTCTCAACGTTGTCTTGACTTGCCAAGTTGTAAGTTTGCCTGGCATGCTGTTTTTTCGGGAAAGCCGCACGAGTGCATGCGCAGGAGCACACTTGCACAAGAAAACTCGCTTTGAAGATGACACCCTTTGCGTGTTTTTGTTTTTTCTACCCTCGCGCGCGACCCTCTGCGGGGATCGGTGTGGTCGTGACGGTTTTTACCAAGAGTGGCAGCAAAACGGCTACAATGGATGGTTTTAACTCTGATTGAGCAGCCCAGTGCAAACCAGTCAAGTCTTGACTGACGGCTGCCAGCGGCTGAATTTCTCCATCCTTTGGGGCAAGGCCAAACCTACCTTCCAGAACAAGACCGAATTGGTGTGCGCGCGGTCCTTTGCAGGGATTGGCGTGGTCGGCTTGCAAAAGCAGTGGGTGGACACATTCTGCTTGTTTGGTCTGCGCGCGCAACTGGTCGATGTCTGAAAACTGATGGCTTTTCTGCAAACTACTATTTCTTGCGGCGCGCTCGCGAGACCCCGTGCACGTGCAGGGATTGGCGTGGCCAATGTCCAAAAAGCGTTGCACTTGTTATTTGCGCTCGCGACCCTCTGCTGGGATCGGCGCAGTCGATGTTCGCAAACTTGTGTTGTTTCTTTCTTTTGTCGCGCGTGCGTGACCCTCTGCGAGGATTGGTGTGGTCGATGTGCAAAAACTGTGTCGTTTCTTCTTTTGATTTGCGCGCGCGACGCGCTGCACGGTTTGGCGCGGTCGATGTCTGGAAACTGATGACTTCTACCATGGTTAACCTTTTTGCGGTGCGCATGCGACCCCCTGCGGGCATTGGCGTTGTCGATGTGGAGTGTTGGCAACCCTTGGCGGCGCGCGGCGAAAGAAATGTGAGCCGAGAGCTACTGGGCAGAGAAACTTGCGCTCAGAGAAATTTGAGCTGAGAACTTGCCCAAGTTTAGTTTGCATGGATGTTTTGCACGGACTTCACGGTTGTCTCCAAAATGAAGGAACCGCCAAAATGGGCCGTCAAAGCCAGCCCCAAAATGGCCCTCAACATTCATAGACTCACTGGGCGTGAACTTAGGGTCGGGGAGAAACATGTCCACCAACCACTCAAGTTGGTCCAGCCTCTTAACATTCATAGCCCCCACGAAAACTCGAGCGCAGACCACTTCTCACCACCAGTCACGTGCACGGACGCACAGCTAAACGCTCTTTCTCTCTCTCTCTCTGCCAAGAAGCGTGGAGCCGGACATCCCGAGTGTTTTTCATTCTTGAGCGCCTCAAAATCCAACGCTTCGTTGTACTAGGATGGTTAAGGTCTATGTAGGCTTCCCCTCCCTCTTCCCCCCCGCCCCTCCTTGCGTTGTTTGTTTCTCCCAAGCCCTTGCTTGACCTCGGAACCTGTACTTGCACAGTGAACTTGCGCAGAGACCACTAGGCTTCGCTCACCAATATTTATGTTACTCTTTCCGGCCACCCATTCTTCTAGGTGTGTATGTGCAGAATTTCAGGGCTTGGGAGGGTCTTTCGCCCTGGTTTCCTCGCCTACAAATGGACGTGTGTTTTGTTCGACATGTTCGGGTGCTAAACGCAGAAAGGGCCCAGGAACCCGAGTTCAGCCTGACGCTAGGTAGCCGCAATAAGGATACGAGGAAAAATCGGCGACATGCACACGCCTTTATTTTGACACACATCAGGGATGTGAGGGCACCTGTTTTAGGGTTGGTCGGATATGTTTCTTGGGAGCTAGGGAGCTGTTGGGGTGCTTTCAAGATCACCACGAAGAAATTCAAGCATCGATTTCTTAGCCGCCGCTTCGGCCGGGCTTTCTGAATCCCTTAGCGGCCTATTTTCTTAGCGACTTTACAGAAGTCACAAGCCTGCGGCCATTGCAGAGCGGGAGCTGGTTCCTTGGGCGCCATCACTTCTCAGGCGCCCACATTGTCAGAATCCGGACGGATGTAAGACTTCGAGCCGTCCATTCAGAAAACCCCCGGCCAAGCACGCCCGATACAAGCGCGCTGGGTTTCACAGCCAGGCGCCGTCTCGCCCCGCTGTACAGGAAGCTTCGCAAACTCCAACCCCCCCTACGCCTTCTGCTGCTTGAGCGGCCTTTTGGGGATTGTTTGGAGCGCGCTGCTTTGGAAGAAGTACATTGCCCACCCATATATGCAAGCGCCATTGGTGCAGTACCCACTGACCTAGCTGCAGATTCTGGGACGCTTGGGTTCGGAGACGGCTTTTTCAGTTGGCGGGCCTTTCCTTCGCCAGGAAAGTATGGGCTCAATTTCGCGGCCTGTTTGCTTGCACCTCCTAGTGGTCGAATATGTTTCTTGGGCGCTTGTTCGGGCCTGCCGAACCCCCGCCCCGCCAAGACCTACGGGACCGAGTTTCTTAGCATCTGCGACGCAAAAACACATACAGGAATTGAGGCATTGGAGGCCCGCGGTGTTTTTCTCGGCATCCATTTTGTGGGACAAATCCAGGGCTCAATTTCTTACGTAGCTTCGACGAATAGCTGCCTACTTGGAATCTCAGCCCTTTAACTCCTGATGATTTCTTGGATTTCTCGCATCAGTACACTGCCAAGATAGCAGCCGAACATTTGGACGGGAATGCTGAACATGCCTCCAACGCATTGAAATCTCCGAAGCTGCGCCCCCAACTGTTACAGCGTCCAAACCTGACCTGCCAGCTTCTTTTCGGTGCCCTCGATACATTTTTTGGGTGCTATCATCCATTTGGAAAATAAGGGCACTTAGACCTCAGGGTTGCCCTCCCCAGCAGATCCCTCCTCAGTCTGGGCAAATCGAGCCACAGCGACACGTGAATGCGAATGACACTCGCACGGAGGGGGGACCGACGCTAGGCAAATCGAGCCGCAGCGACACGCGAATGACACTCACACAGGGGGGACTGACACTAGGGTAAGTGCCATGGGTAAGTGACCTCGATTCGCACCCCACTGACACTCAAATGACACGCTTTGACACTCAAAACGCCATGTTCGGGCTTTCCGGGTCGGCCCCAGTCAAATGTGGCAGTTGTCACACTTCGACCCGGGTAGCTGTTGAATTTCAACAGAAGGGCCACTTAGGCCACCGACACAGCCTTAAGTGCCCTCGATTCAAAACGACGTCAAGTGCCCTTGGGGGGCACTAAAAACATGCTGGTGTTCCCAGTTGCTTAGTGGAACCTTGGTTCCCCTGTAAAAACGGTGCATCCTAAGCAGGGTTCCTTTTCTACCAGAGCTGCTTGTTGCAACTGGGGTGTGGTTTTCCAGTTTGGGTTTTTTAGGTTCAAGGTGTTTCTTTGGGCACATAGAATCTCCAAGCGCCTTGAATGGGGTCAGGATTGTGAATTCATGAGCAATAAGAGCGTTGACCTCCCCAATTTCCTGACATATGCTCATGACTTCTTCATTTGGGCATACGACTCATGTTCCAAGAATCGAAAGGTGACTCCAGGCATATGCAAGCCGTGAGCAAATGGCGATCTGGGTTTGTGTCAAAATATGGATGTGCACCCTATTGATGGGGGTGTTTCTTCTGGTGTGCCTTTAAACCAGCCTCCCAAAGCACACACACGGGTCTCCAAAAGGGGCCCTTACTTGCCTCAACAAGCAGACAGCCGGGATCTGTTACCTTTTGATCTTGCAGTTTCCCTTTGGTCCATTTTTGGCCACCCCAAAAGACTAAACTTAGATTTCTGGGTTCCTAAGGGGCTTCCTATGGGACGCATATCCATTCGAACCAGTCGATTCCCGTGATCGATCTCAGGCCCACAAAAGACCAGCCGGAGCAACGGAAGCGCTGCCCTAAGGATCTCAATTGAGCCCCCAAAACCCCAAACGGCAATTTGGATAGGCTGTCCCACTACACCGGGATAGCAAGGCAGACAAGCGCCTTTATATCCAAAGGTCAATGGGTTTTGGGCACTGCTCCATTGTCTTTCAGGTTCTCAAACAGCATATTGTTGAAAGGGTTCTCAAACAGGTGTTTGAGATCCCGTCAGGGGTCGGTGTTCTGCATTCTGTCCGGCTGCATAGGGGTCAGGACCCTTAGATTTGGATCGGGGCTGTCCCATTGAACAGGGGATCTTGTTCACTTCGGGGAACACTTTCCGCTATCAATCCGCAGGATTTAAACAATCCAGGGTCCTTCCCTTTAAAGAGACACCCACAAAAGGATACTCCGATTTGGCTGTAATTGAAACAAGCTCTCTGTGAAGGTCCTTTGGGAATCCAGTTCTTATTTCAAGTTAATGATGAATTATAGTATATTATTGTAGACAGTAGCATTGTTTGAGTTCATAGAATCAGCCTTTGAATTCAAGCTGGGGTTCAGGGCATGAACTGGTGTATGAACCTCCGGAAAACGAATCCGTGTCTCAACAAGTCAGCCAGTGTGTATTGCTTGTTTTGGGAAGCTTGACACTAAACTTTATGTTGGGTTCGTATTTGGGTCCAAACAACATGAATCCCAAGGGGGATTGAACTCAAGGTTCTGGAGCAAAACTGGGAGGTTGAGCAGCATGGCTTGGATGAACCTGTTTCACGCGGTTGACCAGTCCACGTGACATTGCCCTTGCCAAGTATCAGGAACCCAGGATCCCCTTCCCCTCAAAAACGAACGCCTGGCCTGTTCACTTGTAATTGTGTCTTTGTTCAATGGGAGCCCGGGATTAAAATCTCCCGGTTGACTAACAGCGGGCATATCCCGTTAGAGCGGGAAGTCTTAAATGCGAATTCACGTTTGTTACCACTCACTTCCATTTGCTTAAGAATATGCCTTATTTATAGTATTATTCTTGCCAGGGGGCTGAAGCAACATGGAAGCCCGCCCGTATGAAATCGCGCTAACGTATTCTTATCACTCCAAAGCGCACGACCTTGGATTTCGGGGAGATATTATCGGACCCTCCATGGGAGCGGGGCCTTAGGGATCTCCATGTGGAAAGCTTTTTCAGGTCTCGAGTGTTAGCAGGGTTCCCTTTGAGGATACCCATGATACCTCCAAAAACCAGCTGCTTTGCAAGCAAGGGTTTGGGATTGGGATCCTCTAGAACCTTCCTACTTTGACAATCAAGACTCTCCACGAGCGCCGGTCGTTGTTGTTTTTGTTGTCGCGGGGTCCAGATTTTGGCTGCACCCATCCGCTAGGTCGGTCAAGGCTCTACCAGGCGCCAAGAAAGGGTCCGGACCCCAGTTCCGAACGGTCCCGATGCCATTCGCGTTCGGAAAGACACGCGTTTCTCAGTTGTGACAGGAAGCCAAAAGCAAACAGCCACTCTTTTGAGAGTCACGTATTTTCAGGAACACGCATGTGTGCGTCACGTGATTCTGGGGTGTACTTATCCGAATTGTCGGAGTACCAACCCAAACACAGACACAAATTGTAGAGGAAGAGGCTGTGTGTGTGATGGTTGTCTTTCAGGAAGCGAGGAGGGCCGCAACCTTTGGCCATTCCAGATGCCTTTGGGCATGTTTTCGTCCGACCTGTGCAGTTTTTCCAGTTTTGTGACCCTGCGGGGTCATCTCGGACGGGAAGGTCGCCCCCGGCTATGGTTTCGGGCCCTGACGCAGGTGGGCACTGGTCAATCTTGCTGGTTCTTACCAAGTTCCGTACTGTAGTTGCATTTTGATCAACCATTCACAGGGTAGTTTTTGAGGAGGTCACTGGAATGGACAGGAATGAGGGAAGCAACCCAAACTGAACCATCCCCGAGTTCCTTCAATCCCCAAGTCCGTTCCTAAAATCCATGTTCCCCAGTAAGGATGGCATCGGACACGGGAGCCCCAAATTACCAGTAGAAAATGGTTACCTAACTCCAACGTCATTGGAGGTCTCCCGATTTTCCTTCCAGATGTCCCTTCCATCCGAGGACGGTTTGAAAAGTGTGGATGTCCCCAGGCTTGCAGGTTGATAGTTGGGACTGTTGTCAAAGAGTGATGCAGAGCTTTTTTATACGTCCCAAATGAGGACATCGTGTATACGTACATTTTCCATGAACACGTTTGTGTTGCCCAAAGGGTGGCATCCCACCTTATCTTTGCTCCCGACCTTCGCATCAGCCTTTGGAAAGGATATTTGTTTGACTCGTGTGAGTTTCTCTTGGTGCAGCGGTAGACGCAGGCTAAGTTTGGAGTACTACCCTCGGGAAGATCCAACCAGCTCTCCGGTGGGAACCTGGATTCCTCTGTTTTCCCGCGTGTTTTCTGCGAGGCAAAAAATCATGCTACCCTAAGCATCATAGGACCCCCTTCATTCAGTTATCCCCAGGTAGCAAACCAACAGTTTTTGCACCGTGGTTCCCTTCATTCAGTACTGGTACATGGATCCGCGTGTCTGGTTGTTTGTGTAGAGCCCTGATTTCACTCTACCACTTTTGGACGGGTTTGGGGATTGACCCGTCAAACCAAATGGGATGGCTTGCCTCACCCCAGACCCCCCAAACCACCAAAGCTTGTCTCGAGGAAGAAGAAGAAGACCCACAAACTCAAGACTTTGACGGATGCATTCCTGGAGGATCGAGCTCGATCTGTTCGGTCGCTGGGTTGTTGCCTATAGCTCTTGTTGCTCTGTTGAAACATCACTTGGGGCCATTTGAAGTGATGCTTCCTTGTGGGGTGATGTTTGCAAGTTCTGGGGCTAGATTTCGCAACCGCCACCCAGCAATCATGCCAACGATGCTGGTGATGCCCACGCTGTTCACGCGAAGTTGCACGTTGGCAACCTGCAGAGTTTTAAGCCTAGACGGCGAATGCTGGTAGTGCCTACGCAAGGACCATGTGGGTTGGCAACCCGCAAAATTTCAGCAAACAAGTTGATGAGCCTTCCCGCGACTCACACCTGCCCGACCGCGACGAGTCACTGTGTCGCCTGCCTTAGGCCTTGAGAGTCTGGCATCTTCAGAGGGTCCTTGTGGAATCTTACATGAAGTGTCGTTTTTGGCTTACCTCACCCAAATTCAGACGAGCTATAGTAGGGAAAGGGAACACGTGTCAGCCATGAATCTGAAGATTTCAAGTCAAATGTGGTTGGAGGACATCAATCCCAAGCAAATTCGGATATCCACCAAAGGTCCCCTATCCAACTTCCCACTCACTTCTGAACATTCAGGGCCTATCCAAACTCACACCCAACTGGCCAATCCATCCCAGGCCTGGCAGATTTCGGAGTTCAACCTTTGGCCCTGGGATTGATCCACGTGGAAACATGCTCCTTGCGCTTGGGATGACTTGGCTATACTCGGCTGGTGGTTGTTTATTTGGCTTGGACGGTTCGAGCACGTGAGCAGGAATCAGTTATAAATATGTTACCGTACCAAAACCAGGGCGAAACGAGCAAGCGGGAGGTTCCATGCAGATTTCAGGTTTTGGAGTCACTGTGAACGATGCATATCTCTGAAAGTTGATAGAGAACCCATGAACAAGTGAGAGATGAGTCCCTTTGCAAGTAATGTTTACCAAAGGGTGCACGCCACTTGAAATTCATACCTCGTGGAATCCCGCTGCTGGCCTCTGAACAGCCGAGTGCGAATCTGCAACCCCTCCCTTCAAAGCAGACGAGTCTTGTTCAGGAGCTCTTGTGGGTTCTCCTGCAAGATCATGTCATGATTGAAGGGAGGCTGAATGTAAACACACACACATACAAATACCATTTGAAGGGACAAAAGGAGAGTGGACATAGAAGGCCCCGCGTAGGCATGTTGCTGCACGCACGTAGGCGCGCGTAGGCTCGACTTGACAGTTCGCCCGCGCGTGAGTTTCAGCAAGAAGCACACACACGCACACCGTGTAGGCACTTTGAGAGCAAAACTCCAACCGCGTAGGCGCGAGTAGGCGTTGTGTGACTGACATGCACTTCGCCCAGGCCATCCCGCATAGTATTTGCACATGTCGCAGGCGCCCGCGTATTTGTTTGATACGTCACTGAAGTACCTAGCAAATGATCTGCTCATTTGGGGCGATTTTGGGGTCATGGGTCCTACGCATTGGTCGGAGATCTTTAATCCTTATGCAAATTGATAGTGGTTTCTTTTGTTGTAGTGCTGTCCCGCGCGGATGAGCCAGTAACTTTCCTGCAGAAGGTTCGCACAAGGCAACCGTGTTCGTGGAATCTGCTTGTGGACATTGCTGCGTTCTTCCCCGCTGGCAACCAAATGTTCTTAACTTCAACCCAGACTGTTACTGTAATTTAAATCCAGTAAGTTAAGGCACCCTGCAAAGGCTTGCAGCCAGGTAGCTTTTCAGGCTAGCTGACTAGGATTTCGCTTTCCCGGCCAAGCGATCGGAGCGGCAGATTGAAGTCTTCAAGCTCTTCATGCAGAGCATGGTGCGAGGAACTCGGAACTCGACGCCCGCTGCATTTCCAGGGCCTAAATGGCACCTGCCGACGTACTGTTTAATCTGGAAGGTTTGGGCAAATATGTGACAACCAGACCCAAGGGAACCTTGAGAGATGTTTGAAGGCTTAGGCACAAACTTCATTCCGGGTTGCGTTCTCGTCGCTGCTTGCTTCATTGGGGTAAACAAGGTGTGATAGAGCCCAAGACATTCTTTTGTACCGGATGCTTTTGTTTGTTGACCACACGTCTTTGCGTTTTTCATGTGTGCTCCTTGACTGGCAAGGAGCCATGGTTTCGATTCGTCTTCCAAGCTGGAGGCTACGTCACAGCTTCACAGCTTCGCTTCCCTTGATCCGCTGGGAAGGTTTAAGGCCCAACAGGTTTGGGGAGTCGCGGCTGGAGCCGCTTCACTGTGGGTTACAAGATCCATCGGCAGGTGGGACTATTCCCGGTAGTTGTAGGGTTTCATCCATACCAATTGGTGCAGGTCCATCCACAGTATCTTAGCCCCTTTGGTGTAGGTATGGTTGGTTATTTTCATACTGCAATCAACCCCAAAGTTGCCTTACCCAGTGGTTAACGGGTTAGACAGTCCAGAGTTGCTTTCTCCTTGCTTTCAAGAGGAATGGATTCGATCACTCCAAACCAACAGCTGGTGCCTGTGAGACGATCTCTAGAAAAGCCGAACCCACTGGAGGCTTTTCATCCTGTGCCTCGGGCAGTTCGGGTTCATGCCGGGCCCCTTGTGCGCCATTGGGCGGCGACCTCAGCCCGGGATTCGAAGAGAGCAAGGCATGAGCTGTGGGCAAGAATGTCCGGTCTATACGCCATGAGGCTGTTGCCGGAGCACACATTTGAGCGTTTTTGTTCAGAAGAATCTAGCTTCGCATCCCGAAAAGTCCGCGAACTTGTGCGATACATTGTGCGAGGGACATGGGGAACGAGCTCCAAATTTACCACACACACACATCCCCTCATACAGTGATTTCAGGCATGATGTCGGGTCAAATTCTAATCAATCTATGGTCCATTTGTGAGAAATGGGGGGGGAGCTCAAAACTTCTACCAAAATCAGCGGGCTCGCGTTTTTTGCCCATGCCCATGAGTGGGGGAACAACTCATTTTGACGTGTGCCTCACATAGCCAAGCCAGACTGCATTTTTTTTTCGGCTAAAGTTGGGACATCCCTGTTGTTTCTTTGCGCTGGCGGTATTTTTGGGTTGCCCAGCGGTGCCTGGATTTCTCGTTTGATTGGTGGGTTGGTGGGTTGGTGGGTGGTTGGTGGGTTGGTGGGTGGTTGGTGGGTTGGTGGGTTGGTGGGTTTGTGGCTTGCTTGCTTGCTTGCTGGCTTGCTGGCTTGCTGGCTTGCTGGCTGGCTGGCCGGCTTGCTTTCTTGCTTTCTTGCTTGCTTGCTGGCTTGCTTGGATGCTTGGTTGGATGCTTCGTTGTGCTTGGTTGTGCTTGGTTGCGCTTGGTTGCGCTTGGTTGCGCCTGGTTGCGCTTGGTTGCGCCTGGTTGCTTGGTTGGTTGGTTGCTTGCTTGCTTGGTTGGTCACTTGGTCACTTGGTTGCTTGGGTACTTGGTCTCTCGGTTGCTTGGTTGCTTGGTTGCTTGGTTGCTTGCTTTGTTTGTTTGTTTGTTTGTTTGTGTGTTTGTTTTATTTGTGTGTTTGCGCTTTTCTCTCAGCTGCAACCATACCAAAGCCTTTTTTGCCACCGTTGTAGTCTCCAACTCTGGGAAGCATATGCTTGTCACGTCTTGGAAAGGCCAACTTTTTGTTTCCAGATCCTTTGACTGCAGTGGTGGGGCCTTTGCTGGCTGATGGCTGGCTTGCAGGAAAGGGACCGGACTGGGCAATTTGTTCGACCCCAACGGGGGCAACCCTGCAAATAAGACCAATCTTTCGCCCCCAGCCATTGCCAGACCAACGACTTACCTTTTGAGGTTTGAGGCCTTTGGTTTTCCATCATTTTCCGGATGAGGTGGTTTTGTCTCTTACTAGGGTGGTTTTTTTGCCAGTTTGGTCGGTTGGTCGGTTTGTTTGTCGGTTGTTGTCCTTTTCCCCATTTCAAGCAGCAAACAATTAGCAGAAGGATCTTTCAGTTTCAAGGGAAAGACCGCTTCTCGGGTACGGCGAAACTTGTCGATAGGTGCATCATCACCTGCTGTGTCACGATGATCGTAATGAACATCGGAACCTTCCGCAAGGCGATGCCGGTGCAATCTTCGCCAGACCTCCAGTGGCGCTCGTTTTCCAACTCGTTTGTGGTTGGCATCCTTTGAAGTCAACCAGACGTTGCCCGTAAGGAATTCAGGTCTGGAAGCTTGAGGGCTGCTGGATGACCAAAAAGGGTACCTTGCCTCGGCTTCTTTGCTCTGGGCAGAAGGGAGCCAAGCTCCCGTGTCGGGGTTCCCCTGTTTACCTATGTGCTTTGTATTGGGACATGGAATCACTGTATTACGTGCAGATGCAAATGCCAACAGGGTACCAGAACGAGGGTGGACAAGGCTGAGCCCCGGCAAATTTGCGAACGGGAAAAGAAGGTTGGGGGGTGTCAAAAGTATGCCTCAGACAATGATGCTGCCTTGTGCACCTTGTAAAGGAATAGCAAAAAGGGCCTGGACAGATTTTGTAACCCTTAGTTCGCGGTTTGGATTGGTGGTTTGCACAGTTTGATAGGGGCACAATGGTAGTTTGCTTCTGGCTTCCGCTTAAAACCACTCCAGAAGGGGCATCCTACAAGATACATCAATGCAAGACAAGTCAAGACATTGAAAGTGTGTCCGGGTTTCTTGTAAGGGAACCATCACTTCACCTGGGCCAAAGCACAGCCAGTGGGCACAAACCACGAGCTCAGAGCTTTTCCATAGTGAAGGTCCCGTACTAGTAGACCTGTTTAGCCTTGCACGGAAGGAGAATCAGGAGTCTGGCATCCAAAAGGAATCCTTTTATTGTTGAACTTATCTAGGATCACCCAAGGAAACCTCTGATTTCCTGGTGAATCATTAATATGGATTTCGTCGGCATAAACATTTGTGTTTGATTGTGTGCTTGCTTTTGCAACTTGCAACCCCCTAGACTTTCCATGGGTCGGTCTCGTGGATGGTCTCTGGCAACTCCAGAAAGCTTATGGCAAAGCTCCTCGCAATTTCCCAAGGCCCCCGACACTTAACTTCACACATGTATAGAGGAGGCCCGTAGGTAATTGTACAAGGATTTTGGTGTAACAGTTGGTGTTACATATTGAGGTGGTGCTTTGAATGACAGGCTTGTTTTTCGCTATTGATGTGAGGGGGTTGGAAGCGGGCAGATCTCCCCCGCTCCATTCGGGGTGATTTTATTGAAGACTCATGAACGGCAGTCCCGGGCGGTCCAGCTGCCGGTTCTGCACTGTTCGGACAGGAAATCAACAAGCAGATTGAGAGCCTGGCTGAATCGCTGACGGAAATGTACCGGATGATCAGGACAGGCCAAGTGCTTCCAATTGTTACGTTAATGAGTACCCAAGAGAAATGCCAATTAAATGCCACGAGTCGGAAAATCCCTTGCCTGTTTGCTTGACTTTCCCAAGATTCACGTGGAGGCAGCGGACAACCTGTTCAATTTGTGAAGTCTCTCTCTCCCTCTTCGTTCACCGCCCAGTGATATGTACCAGCCATTTAGGTTTGGCCATAAATTGCTGGAAGTTTGCCTATGGTCCATTTGGGATGGACATGGGGGACAAGCTCTAAATTTCTGAGAAACTAGGCGACTCACAAGCTTCCCAATGTTTTCGTGGGGAAACGAGTCATTTTGACCGTGGCTCATTTGGGTTGTGAGTTGCCTGCTTTGTTTGGCGGCTGGAACCAGAAACCTGTAGCTTCTGCCCAAACGAGGTAGTTTATCAGCCGTGATGTGAAGATAACACATTTATCAGTCCAGAAGCTCTTACCCATCAAGGACTTTCACAACCAACCCTTGTGGAGGATTGTTCCCGAAGGGGTTCGAAGCAGGAACTTGATGAACCAATGAGGGGGAAGCCGAGTTTCACAAAGGGTCCCCTCATATCAACCACCAAATAAGTCGCTCATCGGACAAACGCTTTGGTTCCCTGAGAACTGCTTCTCACTCGCCTCGCAAGGAGCTACCAGGTCCAAGCGCTGAATTGGCTGAACGGTGAGAATCGCTGGGGATACAAGCCGGGGACCCCAGTGGCTTCGATCGAGGCATCAAGATGGGCGTCCAAGGTGGGGTGGCTTTGTTTCTTTAGTCGAAGCAAACAACGAATAAATAGAAGTCAGATAAACAGCACAAGAAATGGAACCTTTGAGTCAAAACAACTTGGAGACCTCTAGAACGGGTGGTTTACCATTGGCTTCCCTCTGCGAACATTCCCAACATTCCAAAAACAGTGGTGTCGGTTTTTGTGCTTCGGTTCGACTGTGGTGTTGGGAAGACTGCCGTAAATATATACGAAGTCTGGACATTCTTCCGATCCACCGAAGTGAAAATAAGCCTTTCCGAACTTGTGGCGGGTTCCCGGGCTCTGGTAGGTTTCTGCAAAAGGGGACATTTCTAGGTGTCAACCAGGGGGGGTGATTCTTCCATGATGGTTGGAGGGAGGGCATCAGGTTGGCCCAACCCTGCCCTGACCCCATGTGTCGGGGGTGAGCGCACTGCCCCAGGTTTATCGAAACTGGCGGCGAGGAGATGGTGGGTATGGAGAACGTCACCGTCCCTCGGCATATGATGAGCGTGGCGAGTCGATCCGCGGCGAGTCAGCGAGTCGACAGAGTTTCTTTGGACGCCAGACACACAATACGTCGGACTTTTTCAGGGGGCCCCTTATTTCGGGTTTCGTGTTCGGGAGCAAGGGAGTTCTGGCCTTTGGGTACTTCCTGAAACGGTGTTTTCCAGCTTGTCATGGACAACTGGAGAGAAATCGATATATCTGACAAAAGCCACCCCCGAAATAACCCTGTTCTTTCCTTTGAACTCAAGCCAAACAAATCCAGCCCTTTGTTTGAATGGCAAGACGGACAGCACACACACACACACATGGCTCTGATTCTCATTCAGCAACCACATGGGATTGTGTTGTGCTTCCCTTGGGTCGATAGTTCCGAGTGACCTTAACGTACGGTTTAAGGGAAAGCAAGAGGAGGAAGGCCACCACTAAATGGATCCCCCCAATTTGCACCCACACACACACACCAATTTATGCTAGCGGATTAATCTGGAGGACCTGCGTCAGAGGAAGCCCCTATAGGTCTCATTTCCTAGGGGAACCATCCCTGACAAACGGAGCCCAGGATGTGAGCTTTGTGGTGCCTGAGCTGGGACTGCGCTTGCAGGCGCTTTTTTGCACGACATTTGACACGTAGCTGGTGGTTTCCCTTGAAACCACCAGATGCTTGTTGGTTTCCCTGGAAGCCAACAAATTGTTTGAGGGTGGGGTGTTTCTCTTGGAGAGCAGCCCCCTTTTTTGTGGTTTGAACGGGAAACCAAAAGGAACCCCGCCATTTTGATCCATTTTGGGGGTCCCCTAAAAAACGACACACCCATACAAATCATTTTTGGGATGCTAGTGGTGCCCCTGGTTGAGTTGTGTTTTCTCGGAAAAGCAAAGGAAAGCAGGCTATGTTCAACCCATTTCAGGTGCGTAGGCCTTTCACCATGGCTAGAGGGAGAAGTGTGGTTAGTTCCGCTGAGAGCCATGGCTACAACCGCCCATTGATCACCGTTTGTTTGTTCACAGTTTTTTTTTAACCGTCTCGGTGAAAATACAACAGCATTTCTATATGCAGGGTCACAGGGACAGTGCTTCCAGTTCCCATGGAATAGGTGACCAGGAAAATATATTTGCATAGGTTTTACCATGGTTTCCTTTGGTTGCCTCAGGGTAGCTGGAAGCATTGAGCGAGGAGTTTTAAGAGTTGAAACCACCTCAACAGTGGTTGGACATGAATCCCGCCATGTCATGTCCCGAATTAAGGTTCATCCCCTCTCTCACCAACATGACACCTGACAGAGGGCCCTTGCAAAGGAGACTGACCTTCTAGGTACCCTCTAGGTACCCTCTGACAGATGCTATGTTTGTGGGAGGAAGGGTACCCACTGAACGGAGTTTCGAGAGAGTGCTTGACGATCACGATGCGCAGGGCAAGGCTACGGTGGATGACCTACTGCTGGGAGACCTGGGTGAAGGCTGCTTTTCTTTGCCCGTTTGGAGACGGGGCTTTCTGCTACAAATTCCAAACTGATCGGCACCAGTTGGCGGTTTTCTTTCCAGGATTCATGAAGTTCAAAGGGTTTCATTCATCCTAGACAACAACTTGACACGCGCATGCACAAGCGCATACAGTCACAAACACATTGACATAGACACACAGACACAGAGACACGCAGTCACACACAGACACACACACACACACACCGACAGAAGCGCACACAGACGTGCACACACAGACATACAGACATTGCAGACACACAGAAACGCAGACACTGTGATCGACAGCGCTACACAATCACACGTACAGTCAGGCAGACACAGCCACACCAACACACCGGCGCATCCACAAGCGCATCACACAACTGCAATGGAAAACAATCACGCAAACACTCAGTTACACTAGTAGACACACAACACAGACAACAAAAAAGCTCTTACACAATCACACTAAGAACAGTAAGCACACAACTCAAACTTCCACACACACAATCGCGCACACACACACACACAGACACACGCACAGACACGCACACGCACACGTACACGCACACGCACATGCACACGCACACGCACGCACCCACACACACATACACACACACACACCCGCGCGCGCGCACGCACGCACCCACACACACACACACACCGCGCACGCACGCACGCACGCACCCACGCAAACACACACACACACACACCACACCACACCACACCACGCCACACCACACCACAACACAACACAACACAACACAGCACAGCACAGCTCAGCACAACACAACACAACACAACACACCACAACACAACACAACACAACACACCACAACACAACACACAACACACAAAACAACACACAACACAACACGCAACATAGCACACAACACAACACAACACAGCACGGCACAGCACAGCACAATACAACACAACACAACACAACACAACGCACAACACACAGACACAGCACACAGACACACCACACAACACACACACACACAACAAGCGCAACACACACAACACACACACACACTCAACACACACACACAACACACACACAACACACACAACACACACAACACACACACACACACAACACACAGAACACCCACACACAACACGCACACAACACACCAACACACAGACACACATGACACACACAACACACACACACACATGCACAACACACACACAACACACACACACACACACACACGCAACACACACACACACGCATAATAGACAAGACACACACACACACACAACACACACACACCACAAACACAGACGCGCGCACAAGACACACACGCACACACACACACACACCACAAACACAGACGCGCGCACAACACACACACGCACACGCACAAAACACGCACACACGGACACACAAAACACGCAAGACACACCACAGACACAAAACACGCAAGCCACACCACACACACACACTGAGAGAGACAGTACCACACTCAATTACAGAATCAATCACACAATGAAACATATTAATTCGACAGGCACACACACAGACACTCAGGTTCCTGAACTTTGTTCTCTTTGCAACGACAGTTTTACTGGACGGTAACAATTATGAACTCGTTGTATCAATTTCAAAGTAGTAGTTTTGTGGAATCCTTCGAGGCACGACATAGGCATTTTAAAACCAGTATCGTGCTTTGCTTGCCCACTCCGGTAATGATGACACTGCATGACGGATTCCCTGAGCACTTTTCACTTTGCACGCTAAGGCCAGCAGACGAGAAGCTGAAGCAGCAGCTGTTGAAGTACACTGCGTGCCGCCAGTTTTTGGCGACGCGTGTCTTGCTTCCCACCGGACCCCTTTGAGTTGGAATCAATAGGAAGCCGTTGCCATTTCCGGGGACCAATTCAGATTTTGAGAAACACCCATATGTTTCGGGGTCGGAACATGAAGCAGACTCCGAAGACGTATCATTATTCATGTTTGCCACTTTCTCCCAAGCATGTGGGGTAGGCGAAATATGGGTGGGTCTTCTTCTAGGGGGCCCGCCCAAAATGGTGGTTTTCCCGTTGGTTTCCCTTTAAAACCAGCCAAAAGACAGGGCCGCCCTCAAAAAAAGACGAGCCACCCATCTCTCAGTGCACAGGGCCAAGAGAGGTTTTCTCTCTGCCTTTGTGCGTGGCCATGGCGGGCACCGGGGATGTGTTGATCTCTGCTCTGGGTGGTTTCGAAGGTAAACCAAAGGAGAACCAAAGCCTTTTTGTTTGGGGGGGGGCATTTGGCCATTTGGAGCAGAACATTTGGCTTGGTGTTTCCAGAGGTTACAACTAATGAGGCTCCTATGATCCTGGCTTTTAGAGTACCTGACAACCGCCTTCTGATGATTTAGTCTCTATCACTTTACGTTTGGTTGTGCGTGTGTGTTGGTTCCCTCCCTTCAAGTTTCCTGGATTGCTTCCTGAGATCATTCCACAGGGAATTGACCCACAGTCCACAAGCACCAAGCTTTTTGTCTACAATCACCTTAGCAAGGCATGTAGTCATAGGCAGAAGAACAAACTCTACAACCTTTTGAAGCGAACCGTTGCCGAAACGTGTGCTGCATTGCCAGTGGCTTCGGGCAACTTGTTTTCATTTTGTCAGCCCTCGGTTGGAAACCTAGTCCAAGGGCACAGAAAACAACTTCCTCAGGATCCTTTCAAATTGCTTGACTCGTTTTGGTACATCTACTCACTTCCTCACTTGGATTTTATTTTTGCGAGGGAAGACCATTTGAGTAAACAAGCAGTCTGGACTTGTTTGACTAATCCACTCGGGAAGTGATGTGAACTCTCAGGGGAGTTTAGAGATGCTATGAATCATGGGGGCTGGCGATCGGAGGTGATTGGACGACCGTTCTTGGAGAACAAAACAACAGTCAACACAGACACACCAGACATACACAGACACCAACAGTTTGACTAGCGACAGCTCAAAAAACAAGTACCAAAGCGCATGAACATGCTAGCTTTTGTTTAGTGGCTTGCCTTGACCCCTCAATTTTGGGGACATTTAATGGGTCGGAAGTACACTCCAGGCACTGAGTCTTATCCAGTGTTGACATGTTTTCCTGGATATTTTTTCCTGAAGTCCACCCCGTGTTTCTCTCATGGAAATCCACGGGAGGCAACTTCTCTCGCCGCGGCCATGCCTCGCCGCTTCCTCCATAGAATCTGCGTCGCACAGTCAGCCTTCCAGACACACAGCCATGGAAGATCGGTCGGATGGCGTTGGGAACCTCCCCTGCAAGAATCGGTCAAGACATGGCTTTGTCTTTGGTTGTAACATTTCTTCTCAGCCATCATTTGCGGGTCAACGTTTGGTAATCACATCTTACATCTTGGTCCTTGACTCAAATGAACAAAGTTGAAGAAACTTGTCAATTCCCACCCCACCCACTCCAGGGCGCGAACTGTCAGCGTTCCCTGAAGGCACTGGCGAGGCCAGCTCACCCAACCATCAGCCACGAGTCGCGACAGGACCGCACCAGCACATCAGGTAGAACAAGAGGGCAAGGATACCAACAGCTACCACAAAGGGCACCACATCAAGTAGCACAGCGGGATGTAGGTCTGTAGGTCCATCGAAAGCTTCGAAACCGGAAGGGAGCCATGCCGCCGCCTCCGCCGGCGGGGCTTCCAAAGGCGCCGGCCGCCCGGGGGCCCAAATGGCCCACTCTGGGGGGGGGGCAGGGGGAAAAGGGGGGGTTGGACTTTGGGGGTTTCGAGGGCCTAGATGATTTGGGGTAAAACTTGTTCGACACAAGCTAAACAAGAAGTTGTTAATTCCGACTGAAGGGTGTGGGGACTTTGGAACGTTGTGCACAAGACAACTGAACAACTTGTTGGAGCCTCGAAGCTTAAGCTGCCCCCATACCTGCGAAAAACTGTTTTTGCGGTGGGCGTCTGGCAAAGGAGTGCGCGAGTGAGGCGCCCAGCAGCCTGCCAAAGGGCCCAGCGGCAGGCGACGGGTGGGGGTTTTCTTCAGGCGAAAGGTGCCCTTCTTGTCGCTGGCTTAAGGGAAACCCAAAGGGAATGTGATATCCACTTTGGGGTTTCCATATCCTATATTGAGACAAACTCATGAAAGACATTGAACCCATTTCCGAAAGATGTCCCTTGGATCCACGTGCCATTGTGCCGGGACTCGCGGATACAAACCCATAGTCTCTGGGTTGAGTATTGGTCGGGCCACACCATGGATTCCTACGCATTTCCGTGTGGGTCCATGCTTGGTACCTCTAGTTAAATGTGCTAGCTTGTTGGGGCAAGCCCAAGGGACGCACGATTATTGTTCGCGACCTTTGGGCGCGAACTAGTATCGTGATGTCTGTCTGCTAAAGGACCCCTAGTGAAAGCTCATTTTGTTCCTTGACATCTAACTGAATGTAGACCATGTCCAACACAGGATGTGTGTGCGTGTGTGTGTGTGCGCGTCATGTTTCTTTTAGCAGATGCAAACCCCGTTTGGCTTCCCTTTGCAAGGCCAAAAGCCAAACGAGTTTGGCCCATTTTGACCCAGTTTGACAGATCCGGGTTTGTTTTTTTTGAGGGCACTCCTGAATTGGGGATTTGAAGGGAGAACCAGAAGGAAAGCCGGAAGGTCCTGGAAAAACAGGCACACACACATCCATTTGAAGTGGACAGGTTTCTTTGATGAACATATGATACAAAAGGGCAGTCCGCCAAAACCCTCCGCTTATCCACTTCCATGATTGTTGAAATAGTCCTACCCAGTGGCCCAGTGTAGTGGTCCACACCAGGCTATGCTGCGACCCCGGCGGCGCCTACCTCGCTGCCCTCGCCTGGAGCCCATGGGGTTGTGGTATGCACAAATGGCCCAGAGCACCGTGTTTTTGGTTTGTCCTTTTTCTTTTTGTTTCTCGGAGGTTGGTTTTGCCTTTTCAAACTGTAAGATCTATATGCTATAGATATGTGATGTGTCGATATGTAGTTTGGAAATATGTTGTTTGCTGGATTCCTTACATTGTTCATTGGATTCCAACCCCCTTTGGTCACGGACATTCAACCAAGTTTTCCGCAGCACAAACCATGAGCAAAGCGTGTACCTTTCCTAAACTCTGGCCAAGGGAATGGTGGAGTGGCCAGGCCAGATCCTTAAGTTCAGTTCAACCCCCATTTCCTGCAAGGACTTGATAGCTTAGCTTTATAGCTTCATTCCCCAACCCTCTCCCCTGCCGGGCTCAGGGGAGGGGCACCAGGGTTATTTCTTTTGGATAGACAGGTGGGGTTGAGGCTTGGATCCCAGAAAGTGCGAAGCTTCCACACCTTCAGACAGCTTAGGTCGGGCGGACGGGCGGTGCCCCCACCGGGCGGCTTACCGGCGCGGGCGCCAGGATGGATGTGATAGTTCTTTTCTTTTAGGGTAAAGAGGAAACTGGAAGGTCTCAAATTGTCTATCCTGATTAGTGTACATGTCCTGCAAATTTAAGGGTTATTTTTGATTTCCCTCTTTCAGAGAATCCCTTGCCTTCCGAGACCCGGAATCAGCTTCCAAAAGAAGACCAACCGCAATCCAATTTCCCTTTCTTCCCAATGTAGCCCGTTCCCCCCGCCGCCCCCTTCCCCACTTTTGGCTTCCGTTTACCTCGCATTTTGTGGTTTTGGTGTGTCACCGCTATCATCGGTGCATTGCAGAACTCTGGGCCAGCCTGTTGCCTTCTATTTCGTTGTTGGGAAGTCTACTTCGCCAAAAAGTCGTGAAAGGGCAACTTGCTCTAATATTTGCCACCCCAACACGCTAGTGGTGGCGTTGTTGGTTGTTTTGGGTGGGGAGCTGCCCTTGAAATCAACCACCAAAACCAAGGATGTCTTTTTTGTGTTATGGAGGTTTAGGTGATCGTTGATGTGGAATCCATTTTGACAGCCTTTTGGATGGTTTGCAAGGAACATCATTGTATAAGTGTGCCAGGACTTTAGACACCGATTGCAAAGGCTCCAGTGTTTGGTTGCAGCACGACACCCCCCCATCAAGGCTTTCATGATCTTTCTAGTTTAAGGTCGATTCTAAGCGCCCTAAATACTGCGGACTGAAGCTTTCAAAAACTGAGATTTGTTGGGTGGGCTTTAGTCCTTGGGCCGTACTCTCATGTCCCAGTTTGGGAAATCCAACAATCTTCCGCGGTACAGGGAAGCCCTTAAAGAAGCCATGGAACAAATTTATTCCACACCCATCAGCTTTCCTCAAAGCCAGACTTTTACATTTTTGGTGTTCCTGCATGGTCTAAGTGTAGCCCAGCTGATCTCCTACGCACTGTGGATGGACGAATCTTGCACCAGTAGGTAGGTAGATGGTTTATCCAGGGTTCAATATCGCTGGGACTTCATCCATCCCAGCTGGTGCAAATAGGACTTTCCTGTTCTTGGCGTGTGAGTTTGTTGTTTTAAAAGCGTGTTTGGCTCTCATGTTTAGTGGTTCGCTGCAAGAAGCAAGGTTGTTTGCTCACATGCCAGGGGGAAGATGAATTCGTGAACAGTTTCCTTGAGCAACTCATCCGAGGCTAAGCCTGCCGCGCCCTCCGTGGGGCGGCTAAGAGGAGATGCATCGAGCAAATGAAGCCACTGGTCGTGCTTTAGACTTCTCAGACAAAAAAAGGCTCCTAGTAGCCATGACCCTGGCCCACAAGAGGAGTTTTGACCAGCGCTGGCTCGAGAGACCAGCCAGGGCTGTGTCAGCCGATCTCGAGCGGTTGCCATGGCCTTCATCAACATGGTCATGGAGATGGTTATGGTTGTGCTCGTCAGGTCAGTACAG